ATTCCTGCCTGAACCTGGGTGTATATAATCTTGGGGTCTTGAGACTTCTGGTACCACTCATGGGATCCAGAGGAGGACCAGAACCTCAACTAGACTGGGACCACCACTCTCAACTGGACTGCGACTATCACTCGCACCAACAGGTTCTTCTGCTTCTTTTATTTTTAGGCTCAGGGGGCCCACATGGGGTTCAGCACAGGAGCCAACGAACACCAGTCTTTTCGTGCCCCAGGGTGCTGGGTTATACATCTGGGTTTTTGTGGGTTAAAACCAATTGTTCATCTGTAGAATTGTATTTATTGTATATTTTTCTTAAATTGTAATTCTGATTTATAATCTCTTTTGAGTTGGGTTCATTTCTCCTGCTGGTTTACCTTTAAACCAGCACATTTTTGGCCCCCAATGTGAGGCATGAGAGAGAAGTCAGAATCACAATTTCATTTGAAGCATTTGTGTATATTTGGGTACAGAAACTCCCTGATCACCATGTTGCTTGATGTATTCATGTAGATGTTGTATCTGAGCCATTTCATGTTTCCGCATATTGGGAACTATTTACCTATTTCGATGCTCTCTTAAAGACCAGGGAGAGGGATCAAAATTGTTTTATCAATATACTATGTTTATGTCGTCATAACATCAGAAGCAGTGAGTTTCATTGTGAATGTGTACTCAGTCTTGTTTGCCTGTCCTAGTTTGGGTTGCTACCTCTGGGGCCTCATTAAAAATCTCACCCTGCCTTTTGGGGGAACGGGAGAGAATGGTTGTTTCCAGCCTTTCACCTCCTTCTCCTCCTTCAGACCTGCTACAATAGCCTTTGAAAATATTGAGTTTCCTTTTGATGTTAAAAACAGCGTAATGTTGTTGTTACTGTTGCTTTGTCTGCTCTGTACTGTCTACACCATGCTTAGGGTCAGAACGGGGCCTTCTAGGGAGGTTGTCTGGAGGCCTGCCATGGGAGTGGATAATGTTGAGTGGCATGGGAAGTGGGAGGACATTGGTCGGTATTTGGAGAAGTTCTCTCCTCCAATGATCTGGAAATTCTCTCCTGAACATCTGCAGAACCCTGTTAGCGTGATAAGATTGGTCAAGGAAAAATACTCTGACAGCTCCAGAGATGGCCAGCTCACAGCATCCTGCTGGGCCCTGGCCACTGCCTACTGGACACTACTTGGCATGGTACAGCACCATCAGAGGGAGGAGAGAAGGAGCAAATCCATACGCACCATGTCCACCCAAACCATGGCTGATTCAGAAGGAAAAAGAAATAAATCCAACCAGCACCACATCCACACAAACCATTGAGGAGCCAGAAGGACAACTGAAACCAATAGCAGTCCCCCCTGTCCAGAAAAGAAAATAAAAGACTAAATCAGTTTGTATAGCGAATGATGCCGAAGAGGCAGGACCTTCATGTTCAGTGGAGGAGATAGAGCCAGAAATAATCACTCAGTCCCTATCCCTGGGTGAACTACGTGAGCTCTGGAGAGAGTTCAATCAACAGGCAAATGAGTCCATTCTGACCTGGCTGCTCTGAATCTGGGACGCAGCGGCTAACAATACAGTTCTAGATGAGAGTGAAGCAAGGCAACTGGGATCCCTGTCTTGAGATGTAGTCATCGATCAGGGGATTGGAAAGAGACAGGAAACTCTCAGCCTCTGGCGGCTACTGTTGTCCAGTGTGAGGGAGAGATATCTTTGTAAGGAGGACCTCCACCTACAGCAAGGACAGTGGAACACTATGGAACAAGGTATCCAGTGCTTAAGGGAATTAGCTGTACTGGACATAATCTTTTCAGAGGACGAAAGACTCCCTAAAAGTCCAGAAGGTGTACAGTGCACATCCCAGATGAGGTTAAAGTTTGCACAGCTTGGGCCAGAAATGTATTCCCACTAAGCCATGTTGCATTGGAGTGAGGGAGAGGACAAGGTGGGTGTGCTGGTTAGTAAACTCTGGATTTATGAAGACACTGTCACTGCCCCATTATGAGCCCATGTCTCATCTGTGGAAACTAAACTGGCTGAACATGTCCAAAGCTGGGAAGAGAAGATTGAAGAGGGCCACCAGAAGCTAAGAGAGGAAATTAAGGAAGGGATCTTCCATATCTCATTAGGACAAACCAGATTTTCTGCTATCCAGAGCAGGTGTCCCCCAGCTAAGGAGAGAGGGTACACTCCACGTGGCAATCTATGGCTTTACCTCCATGAGCATGGAGAAGATATGAGGAAGTGGGATGGAAAACCCACCTCTTCCTTAGCAGCCCGGGTATGTGAATTGAAAAGAGGAATAAGTACCACAAGGAACTCTTCAAGGATGAATGCTGCTCCGGTCTCTCGTGGGGAAGACTCCAGACAGTATAGGAATGATGATATGTCTGATCCTCTTGAACGGACCTCCAGGTCATACAAGAAGAGAGCAGTGAGCACCATGACCAGCACAAGGAGTGCCCTGCCTCTAGCCAGGTAGAAATTAAAAGGAAATTAGACAGTTGAACACCTTGCCTGGTCTCTCAGAGGACCCTTCTGCTGTGGGACTGCTGAAGGTTGAAGAACAATTGGTACCCATGGCCGCAGCAACAGTACATCGTCTGCAATACTGCTTCGATCGAGACTCCGTGGCTCCTATACATAAGATGATCTGTGAACTGGAGACCCAGGGGGTGGTCAGCAAGACTCGCTCACCCTTTAATAGCCCTATATGGCCAGTGCTTAAGTCCAGCGGAAAGTGGAGGCTGACCGTGGATTACCGTGGACTCAATGAAGTCACACCACCCCTGAGTGCTGCTGTGCCGGACATACTGGAGCTTCAGTACAAGCTGGAGTCCAAGGCAGCCAAGTGGTATGCTACCATTGACATTGCCAGTGCCTTCTTCTGCCATTCCTTTGTCAGCAGAGTGCAGGCCACAATTTGCTTTCCCTTGGAGAGATGTGCAGTACACCTGGAATCGGCTGCCCCAGGGGTGGAAACACAGTCCCACCACTTGCCATGGACTGATCCAGACTGCACTGGAAAAGGGTGAGGCTCCAGAACATCTACAGTACATCGATGACATCATCATATGGGGGAACACAGCAGAGGAAGTCTTCGAAAAAGGAGAGAATATAATCCAGATTCTCCTAAGAGCTGGTTTTGCCATTAAACAAAGTAAGGTCAAGGGACCTGCTCAGGAAATTCAGTTCCTAGGAGTGGTGGCAAGATGGACGTCAGCAGATTTCAATGGAGGTGATTAACAAAATAGCAGCCATGTCCCCCGCAACCAGCAAGAAGGAAACACAGTCTTTCCTAGGTGCCGTGGGCTTTTGGAGGATGCATATCCCTGAGTACAGTCAGACTGTAAGTCCTCTCTACCTTGTGACATGGAAGAAAAATGATTTCCAGTGGGGCCCTGAACAACAACAGGCCTTTGAACAAATTAAACAGGACATGCAGTAGCCCTTGGGCCAGTCAGGACAGGACATGAAGAACATGCTCTACACTGCAGCTGGGGAGAATGGTCCTTCCTCTGGCAGAAAGTGACTGGGGAGACATGAGGACAACCACTGGGATTCTGGAGTCGAGGATACAGAGGATCTGAAGCCAACTATACCCCAACTGAGAAAGAGATCCTGACTGCTTACGAAGGAGTTCGAGCTGCCTCAGAAGAGATCAGCACTGAAGCACAGCTCCTCCTGGCACCCCAACTACCAGTGCTGGGCTGGATGTTCAAAGGAAAAGCTCCTTCTACACATCATGCCACCGATGCCACATGGAGTAAGTGGATCGTTCTGATCACACAGTGAACCTGGATAGGGAATCTTAATCGCCCTGGGATTC